CAGAGAGGAAAGGACTTTTTGAATGGGATCCTGATAGCAAGGAAATTAAGACCTACAATTAATAAATGGGACCTCAGGGAACTAAAAATAAATGATACTATTATTCATGTGAAAAGGTAGATGATAGAAATGTCAGATATATGTCTGACAAAAAATTAGTATCTAGACTATACAAAGAACTAAAAAATTAAACATCAAGAAAATAAATTACTTGATAAAAATTAGGTATCAAAGTAAACAAAATCCTCAAAGGCTAAAATAAAAATGATGGAGAAATCATTTCTTAAAAATGTTCTATATTCTTACTTTTCAGAAAAATGCAAATTAAAACTACTTTGAGATTTCAACTTACTCCAATATTAAAAAGATTAAGATTAAAAAAAGACTAAGATTAAAAATAACAATACAGGCATGAGTCTGGGACCTCCGAGGGAGTAGATGTCATATCTTACAGATTCAGAAAAAACAATCCAAAAATTCACACGGAATCATGAAAGACTGCACATACCCGAAGCCAGCCTGAGTAAGAACACAGCTGGAGGCATCACAATGCCTGACCTCAACTTATCCTACAGGGCATATGCAAATTATAGTGATAAAGACAGCTTGGAACTCGAATAAAAATAGTAAGGTAGACCCATGAGTCAAAAGAGAGGACTCGGGAATACGCTGATAACGCTGTGACCACCTAATCTTTCTCAAAGGGGGCAAAAGCATGCAATGGAAAAAAGATCCTGTTCAACAAATGGTGCCAGTGGAACTGCACATCCATCAGCAGAACAATGAAAGCATCTTGTACAAAAGTCAGTTGAAAATGGATCAAAGGTCTTAATTTAAAATCGGAAACACTGAAACTGCCAAAGGGAAACGGAATATTCTTCAAAGTTAGGCAAGAACTTTCTCAAAACAAGCAAAGCTCAACATCCTTAGCCATCAGATATGTGCAAATCAAAACACCTCTGAGATTCCATCTTACACCTGTAAGAATGGCCACGATCTAAACACTGATGACAACTTATGCTGGAGAGGTTGTGGGGTAAGGGGAACACTTCTGCCTTGCTGATGGGAGTGCAAACTTGTACAGCTGCTTTGGAAATCTTCTCAGAAGATTAGGAAATAATCTACCTCAAGCCCCAGCAATACTACTGTTGGGTATATACCCAAAAGCTGCTCAATCTTACCACAAGGACATGTGCTCAACTATGTTCATAGCAGCATTGTTTGTCACAGTCAGAACTGGAAACAACCTAAATGCCTCTCAACAGAAGAATGGATAAGGAAAATGTGGCACATTTACACAATGGAGTACTACACAGCAGAAAAAAATAATGACATCTTGAAATTTATGGGCAAATGGGTGGATCTAAAAAACATTACATTGCGTGAGGTAACCCATACCCAGAAAGACAAATATACTATGCATTCATTCATTCGTTCACTCATCTATTCATTCATGTCATTTCTTTTAAACATAAAGCAAAGAAAAACCAGCCTATAGGCCACAACCCCAGAGAAACTAGTCAACAAAGAGAGACATACATGAATCTACATAGGGAAGTGAAAAAGACAAGATCTCCTAAGTAAACTGGGAGTGTGGGGGTCACGGGAAAGGATAAAAGGGGAGATAAATAAAAAAAATACTTTAAAATATTTTTAAAAACCACAGAAAACAACAATCAAACAAATAAAAATAAGGAGATGGAAACAAAAAGTAAAAATCTCCCAGCAAAGTGAAGTCCAGATGCTAATGATCTCTCAATGAGCAGTACCAGATCCTTATAAACTCCATACAGATCCTCAAAACCTTCCACAAAATTGAAGAGGAGACACTACTTCTTATCTTAGTCCACGAGGCACAATATACCCAAAGAACACTGATGCACAGCTCCTCAACAAAGCCCAGCAAAGCAAACCCAGCAGCAAATGAAAAGGGTGATACATTATTCCTAGAATGTAAGGATTTCCTAACCCGTGAAAACTGATAGACATCAAAGATCACCTTAACAGAACGAGGAGAGAAAAACATGCTTGTCCCAAATGAAGCAGAAAACAAATTTGGCAAAACCCAACTCACTCTCATGACAAAAAGATTCTACAAACCAGCAACAGCTGAAAATCACTCCAACATAGCAAAAGCCACAGTGGAAAAATCCACAGCATAAGGTTGAAAGCACTCGCTCTTAGTTGTCCAAACAGAGTTGTTTTAAAATAGTTGTGTTTTAACCAGTACTGGAAGTTCTAGTCAGAGCAATTAGGCTAAAAAAGAAAACTGCAAAGGTGAGGGGAGGAAGGGAGAAGACTACGCTTGCACACTGTGGGCTTGATACGTGGGAAGCCCCAAACGACAGGCGTTCAGCCTCATAAACAAATTCAGCAACATAGCAAGCAAGAGCAGTTGCTATGAACAACCTGAAGAGGAAGTTACCAAAATGGTTCAGTTTTCAGAAGCATCACAAAAGAAGCAGAAGACTTTGTGTACCAGGCCTTTTCTTTTGGGCCACCAACCAGCTCCGAAATCATGACACCGAGATTTCTTATTAGTTTTGAATGTTTGGCCCTGCTTGGGCTCATTTCAGGCTAGCTTTTTTTTTTTTTTTAACACAAATTAATCTGTTTCTCTTTATCTACCTTTTACCTTGGGGCTTTCCTTTCCTTCTGTATACCTTACTTACACTGCTTCTGGTATCTGGCCGGCTGGCATCTGCCTGGTTTCTTACTCTGGGTGTGATCTCCCTCATTCTCTCCTCTCGTTCTTCTTCCTATTGTTCTTTTATGCACCTTGATTTCTCCTCCTATTTATTCTTTCTGCCTGCCAGACTCACCTATCCCTTTCCCACATAGCTATTGGCCATTCAGCTTTTTATTAGACCTATCATGTGCTTTAGGCAGGGTAGGTGAAATAGCAACATATCTTTTTATAATTAAACACACATTTTTACATTGTTAAACAAATACAGCACAAACAAACATAACACACCTTTATACAGTTAAATATTCCACCACAACTTCGTATATAATAAAAACTATAAATTATTGGGGGCCTGGAGCTTTACTGCTCTTACAAAGGACCAAGTTCAGCTCCCAGCACCAGCAGTCATCTGTAACTCTAGTCCCAAGAATTCCTGAGCCCTCTTCTGGCCTCCAAGGGCACTGTGCTATGTGGTGCACAGGCAATACATGTACGGGGGACACAGTCGTAAAATCATATAGTCCGGCCCCAGTTCTGACACTTTTTCTGCTACAGGTCTGCTGTGAGGTGCAGGACCCTGGCCACTGTTTTACCTTCCTGCCGCAGAGGACCGAGACCCTCTGAAGTCATGGACCGAAACACACATTTCCTCCCATGTGAACGGGCGTTCTGTCACAGCGATGCACAAGTGAGTGACGCTCTGACGAGTCACATCTTCCGATTCTAACACTCAAGGCTATGGCAATCAAAATGGTGCTATTCACGCACACAGTGACACAGGGACCCGTGAAATAGATGAGAGACACGGGAAAGAAATCCTCACGTCATGATCAAATCATTGTTGGCCGGCGGAGAGCAAACGGCAGTCTTTAAACAAATAGAAAACTGGGCAGCCACACGGGAGAGAAAGAACCTGAGCCCTTCCTAGCACAATATACAAAAGTAACTCAAAATGAGCAAAAGCTTAAGCATAAGACTCACGACTGCAAAATTCTTACTAGAACACATAGTGGAAAATTCCCATGACACCAGAGTTGCCAACTATTTCTTGGCCACAGTACCAAAAGCATAGACAATAAAAGAAAGGTGGGATAATTTAAACGCTATCTATTAAAAGACTACAAGACAATATCAACAAATTAAAAGAGCAACCCACAAAAGGGGAGGAAATATTTGTAAATCATTAAGCCAATATGAAATAATACTCAGAATATACAGAGAACTCCTGAGGCTCAACGAGAAAAACAAATCCATTAGAAATGGACGCAGGGGACTCTTCACAGGATTTTTACTCTGGGGAACAGTACGAGCTCCTGGAGCATCAGGGTCTCTGTATCGGAGACGGTTAAATGAACCTAGACATTGAAGTGGAATCCCACAGCTAACTGAGAATGTCTGACAAAGACAACAGGGAGTTTGGGAGTGACGGGAGACACACTTGCTCTTTGCACCCTGTGAGAGGGGTTGACTTCCCATCCTAGAGACAAAAAGAGGTCCATTTTTATCATTTCAGGGTCTGGCCAGACGAGGTGACACTGAAGATCTTTCTGGACATAGAAACATGAGATGTGAAGGTGAATTTTTCTAAGTGGCAAGAAACCAGTAAAGACCCACAAACACTGTGGTTGGTCGGGGGTTTTTCTATTCCCTTTTTTTGGTATATAGAGTGTGAGTATGTATGTGTGTGTGTGTGTGTGTGTGTGTGTGTGTGTGATATTTGTGAACGTATGTATATGGGGGCTAGCACCAGTGCGTGCACTTGTGGAGGCAAAAGATCAACAGCGTGTGTCTTCCTGTTGCCCTCCACCTTATTATTTGAGACACAGTCTTCACTGAATCCGTGGAGCTTACCAATTCCACCAGAGTGGGTGCCCAGTGGTTTCCCAGGATCCCCTGTCTCCAGCCCTGCAGTTCTGGGATTACAGGTGTGCACCATGCATACAGGTTCTAAGGATGTGAACCCAGGTCCTTATGATTGTGCAGCAAACGCCTTTCCAGGGAGTCGCTCCCCACCCCTTTCCTGTTTCTGTGTGACTAAGAGAACTTTTCCCATTTTGTATGAGGGCGGTGTTCTCTGCTCTCCAACTCGGAAGATCCCTTAAGGTGAGGGATTGCAGGGTCCTCCGTGACATTGTTCGCAGGCTTTCCCAGGACAGGAGGTCACTCAGCTCCCACTGACTACGTCATAGTAGGTTGTAAGACGGCCAAGCGTGGGTTGAAAACGCCTTGGCTATGAGGGCGCTTGAGTCTTCATACTTTATTCTCAGAGAACAAGCGCAGAGGCGGCAGAGATGCTGCCCAGTGTCCTTACCTGGATAGATCCTGAAGAACCCAGTTGAACTGCCAAAATACTGCCAGGTCAGTGTGGGATCTCTCTGGAAGTTCTCCACAAACACAGGGTTCAGGGCCTCGGACATGTAGACTCCATTTAAGATGTCTGGGTCTGGGAGTGAAATCATGGAGGGAACTTCAGAGGCCGTGACATTAGATGCACATGTCTTATGCTACACATGCAAACCCAGGCAAGCTTCCCCTGCTTCCCTTAGACCTGCATCAGGCTCACATGTAGCCCGTGCTGCCTAACCTAGAAGCATCATCTCTCTCCCAGCCCACAAGCTGAGGTTTGGATGTAGCCTCTCTCTCTCTCTCTCTCTCTCTCTCTCTCTCTCTCTCTCTCTCTCTGTGTGTGTGTGTGTGTGTGTGTGTGTATGTGTGTGTGCGTGCCCAGGGTTTGTGTTTGAATGTGCAGTGCTCAGTACTGATGTATGAGAAAGGATGGGAGTATGAGGGGGATAATTGAATCATCACCCCAGGGCAGAGCTTTTACAATTCTATGGATTCTGGTGAGTTCCCTTGAAAGAGTTTCTGTGGAAGAGGCTTTCCCACTCTCTAGCTTTTTGGGTGGTTGCACCCCCTTACACAGATCCCTATCGTGACACCCTCTACCAGAGTAGGATGCAGCTGGGGACCTCACCAAAGCAGTGTGGTGCTGGCCGGACTCAGCTTCCCAGACCTTGAGCTAGGGAAACCTCGCCTAAGTTATTCAGCTTCGGGTATTTTGTCAAAGCAACAGAAAACTCCATGTGTGTGTAGAATAATCTCCTTTCTCACCCTATCAAGAAGATTAGAGAGACAGCTAATGCCCTATAGGACTTCTTGGGAAAATTGACACAAACTATTTAAGCCCTCCAGGGCCCCTGTCCTGTCCTCTAAACTACCCGATGGTGAGGACACGGCCACCTTTGTTGTACACGTTGGTAGGTAGCTGCACGCTGCTCAGAGAGACGTTCACCCTCTGGTTGCTGAAGTGTGCATCGGGTTCAAGAAGAAACTCGGCTCCCAGCTCCACGTAGTTGCCATTCTCGTCCTTCTCATTGATAAGCACTGAGTTGTAGTAGTTAAACTGGGGAGAGACGGGGCAAGTCCAGAAGAGGCAGCCCAGGCACAAAGAGGGAGAAGGAAAGAGAAAGGGAGGGAGGGGAGCTTCAAGGGCCAGAGGAACCAAGCGTAAGGCCAGGCTAGGCAGGAAGGGCTGGTGGTGCCCGGTTATGCTGCATTTGGTGGAAAACTCAAGCAAAGATGGTGCAGTGAGGTCACAGCACACATCAAGATAGTTGGATCTGAGGGCTCCCTGGTGGGTGAGGTCAAATCAGCTCAATCGTTGCTTTGATTCTCCACTTGGCTTACTATGCATGGGAAAGTCACAAGTCAGAGACAGACAGACTGACAGACAAACCGAGACTCAAGAGCCAGCTGGAGACAAAAGACCATGTCAGCACCATCAGTTTCTTCCATGGGGTGAGGCCCAGCTAATTCAAGGAGTAGCATCCGGGGCCCTGCCCTGCCAGGGGGCCTAAGCCCTGCTATCTCCTCCCCACAGGGCAGGAAGGCTGTGACCCAAGAGGCCATAATCAGACCACTTTCTTCCCTGCCCCCCACACCACAAGCCCACACTTTGGTTCCCTCTAGAACGGTGGCCACAGACCCCTCCCAGCTCCATCTTGCCACCCTCTGGTCAATATTGGCTTTGTGAGCTCAGTTCCAGCTATGTCCCTCCCCGACTCCATCCCACAAGTACAAGCTTGGGCCATTTTGGAAGAGGGATCCTAAATTGAGAAAATGCCTCCATCAAATTGGCCTGGAGGCAAGTCTGTGCAGGCATCCCTCTACTGATGATAGCTATGGAGGGCCGAGTCCCCTGTGGGCAGTGCCACCCCAGGAAGAGGGCCAAGCCCACTGTGGGCAGTGCCACCCCAGGAAGAGGGACAAGCCCACTGTGGGCAGTGCCACCCCAGGAAGAGGGACAAGCCCACTGTGGGCAGTGCCACCCCTAGGAAGAGGGCCAAGCCCACTGTGGGCAGTGCCACCCCAGGAAGAGGGCCAAGCCCACTGTGGGCAGTGCCACCCCTGGGAAGAGGGCCAAGCCCACCGTGGGCAGTGCCACCCCAGGAAGACGGACAAGCCCACTGTGGGCAGTGCCACCCCTAGGAAGAGGGCCAAGTCCACCGTGGGCAGTGCCACCCCAGGAAGACGGACAAGCCCACTGTGGGCAGTGCCACCCCTAGGAAGAGGGCCAAGTCCACCGTGGGCAGTGCCACCCCAGGAAGACGGACAAGCCCACTGTGGGCAGTGCCACCCCTAGGAAGAGGGCCAAGTCCACCGTGGGCAGTGCTGCCCCTGGGAAGATGGCGAATGGTTGCATAAAAAAGCAAATTGAGCAAAATTAGGGAAAACCACAATAAGAACTTTTCCTCCCCCGATCTGCTTCAGTTTCTGCCTCCAGATTGCTGCCTCGATTTCCTATCTTGGCCTCATGCTGTGATGGACTGTGGTTGTGATGTGTAAGCGTAATAAACCCTTTCCTCCACGAGTTGCTTTTGGCCATGGTGTTTACCACAGTAATGGCAGGCAGCCATGGCACCCAGCATCCAGGATCTTGGCCCTGGCCTCTCTCAGTGGACGTCCCAGAGGGTTTGTATCATTGTGTCCTCATCCGCCCTGAGCTTCCTTCTTCCTGTGCCTTCCAGGATCTCTCAGCTCAGAGACACTTGTTTATACCTCAGCTTCCCAAGTACCCTTATCAGGGCCATCCCTGCTGAACCTCCCCTCTCCTGTCCACTTCGCAGTGCTCGCTGGCCCACCCCACATGCTGACTCCATGCTGTCTCTGGGAGCCTCAGCAGCTGGTGTGAAGACCTCACTGACAAAGCCAGGGCACAGCATGGCGCAGGGACATAGATTGAGTAGCTGTTGCTCAGCTCCCTGAACAGCTGCTGTTCCGGCTGGCCGTGGGGGTGGGGCAGAGCCAGCCAGTCTGGCATCCACTCCCAAGAGGACTTACCACCAGAGAAGCATTGTACTCATGATTCAGGTCGGCCTCCTCAGCGGCCTCCACCAGGCTCTGAGGGAGGGAGCATGACCGTCACCATCAGCTGTTCTCCTCCGCCACTCCACCCCAAGCTCTCTGCTCTTCTCTTCCCTCTCCAACCCTCTGCTTTCTTCTTTTGCCCTTTCAGCCACGAGGACCCACCCTCTGTGGTTCCTACATGCTCCAAGGAGCTCAGGGGACAGCATTCCTGAATGTCTACAAAGCCTGACTGGGAACAGCCTTGGTGACATGCCTATCCCGACACCTGCAGTGACCTGGTTTAGTATAACACAGTCTGCACTCCACCCAGCCAGGAGAGGCCCATCTACAGTCAGTGAAGTCACTGAGAGGGTCTGAAAGGCCAGTGCTGGGGATGGGCAGCAGTACCTTCACGGCCTCGACTTTCCTCCTAAGCATGGTCTCCATGTCCTCCGAGAACTTCTTCACCAGCTCTAAGCCATCCACCTCTTCGATCTTCAGACTGGCTTCTGCATCCTTGTACTTCTGGGCAGGGCAAAGGAGGAAGACGTGGGCCTGAGTGCACCAGGGCCGTCCTTGCTCTAAGACCTTACCAGCTCTCCATGCATCCACCCCATGACGTCCCAACCATAGTCTCAAACGGCCTGTCCTCAGATGTCCCCTGTTCAGGACTCCAGACACAAGAAAGTTACTATCCCCAATGGGAGCTGACTGACACTTGGGTAGGAATTAAACTTGACACCAGCCAGAGCCAGTGAGCTGGGCAGCTAGGACCCTGGGGGAGACAGAGTACCAGAGTCCCTGTCCTTGTTCTTTGTGAGCCACAGCTTCCCTGGCACCTGCTGTGAGGCCGAGAAACAGGCTTGGTGTCCATTCACCTTTGCCCAGCTCCCAAGAGCAACATCACCTTCTGTGTTGGACCTACACCCTACTGAGGACCCAGGGCAGGAGTTCCAAGAGTGATGCTGGTGAGCATAGGGGAGCCTAAGAACTGGCTTCAAAATCCTGTCTGCCCAGGGACAATCCTCAATGAGTCACCAGTGACTCTTGGCCAGCCCCTGTAACCTGCTGTCCCTGTGATCTTAGGCAAGGTACCCGGCGTCATCTTCTGTAAGATGTGATGCATCTAGAGCTTTCGACAGAGCTGTAGCATGCATAGACTCTAGAGAACACTTTCAGCCCCGAGGACTACACAATCCCTCATTGTCTTCCTCACCTGGGGCTGCAGGGTTCAAACAGGAAAATCAAACAAGCTGTTGTTCACAACAGAATGGGGTGTTGAGAGGGCTCCTGTAGTCTTAAGGCTGGGAGAGCCCCCAGGGTCTACCCTGGCCCCTCCCACCTTCTGCAGCACAAAGGGGATGAGGGAGGGTGGCAGGTACTCAGGGCTGGCATAAAAGCGGAGGCATCCATCAGTTGCAACATGGAGAGGCTGCCTCTTGGGTTGCCGTAATTTGAATTAAAGCCTTCCATCACTCTTGGGTTATGGTGCTGAGAGAAGGCAAGACCCTGAGAGCATGTCCAGGGAGTCAGGTCCCAGAAAAAGATGCCAGGGTTGACCTTCTGTCAGGCCCACTTCTGCTGGGAACAGAGCATGGGCTCATCTTGTCAGGGTGCATGGGATGCTGGATACCCGGGCACAGCCTGGCTGCTGGGATCCACTGGAACTGCTCTGCCTTCAGAGAGGAAACTGACAGCTGCCGCTTGCAGCTGGCACTGCTGGGCTGTCTGCTGCTCCTTCTGCTCTCAGCCCCCATGCTCTGATCTGCTCTCTGGCTCCTCCCCAGGCATCCACACCAAGCCTCCACTACCCACCCAATAAACGCGTGCAGGTCTAATCTTGTTCTTGGCTTCCTAAGATGCGAACTGACAGAATGCTCTTGAGCTCACTGTCTACACGATGCCTTAGGAATGGAGCCTCCCGGGGCCCCATCTGATTATGATAAGATTGACAGAGATGATCTCTGAGGCCCCTTACAGCTCTGATGTTGGGAGTTCTATCCCTCTGTGGGAAGGGGCCCTGTGACCATGCTGGAACTCCCTGGGAGAGGTCACTGACCTTCTGTAGCAACAGCGAGCCTGAGTATCTGGTCACCGTGTCGTACAGATTCCTGCCGAAGGTGTCGGCCCACAGCTTCACTCTGCAGGACAGGAAATCCTAAGTGCACGTTCTCACTATGATCGGGAGTCAGATCCTCAAAGGTGATGGTCACATCATGTACATGCAAAGCAGGCATCTCATACACAGACACACTTGTGACCCACAGGCATCCACACACATGAACATACACACACATACACACCAACACCAGCATTCCTGTGATGGTTAGCTTTGTTTGCTTTGTCACCAGCCTAGAGCCACCCAGGAAGAGAGTCTCAACGAGGGACTGTCTATATTAGGTTGGGCTGTGGGTGTGTCTGTCGAGGGACTGTCTTAATTAATTGGTCTGGGAAGATCCAGCCCACTGTGGGTGGCATCATTTCCTTGGCACCAGCCCTGAACCGAATAGAACCAGAGAATTGAGCCGAGCACAAGTGAGCAAGCAAGGAAGCCTGTGTGCACTCAACTTCTCTCCGTTCTTAACTATGGACGTGATGTTATCATCTCCGTTCAGGTTCTGCTACCTTCCCTGCTGTGGTGGACTGGAGCCTGGAATTGTGAACTTGAACTGTGAACTCTCTACTCTGAGTTGTTTTTGTCCAAGTGTTTCTCACAGCGACAGAAGTAAACTAGGCCAGCTCCTATCCAGTCCCCCTCCCAAACTGCAGCCTGTCCGGGGGGGGGGGGAACTCTGGCTGTGGTACACACACTCTGCCTGGCTTCAGTGGATCCCAGAGCTGATGGGCTTAGAGTGGATTCTAGCCCCATGGTCTCAAGGACTTTCCAGTGAGAAGGGAAGGAGGAGGGAGTCTGTGCAGGTCCAGACTAGAGGGGGAAAACCCTGAACCAGTGTGGCACTTCCTGAGCCAACTTGGACATTTCAATGATCAGTCCGTTACTATGTCTACTCAAGGCTATAGGACACTGACCTGTTGAACCCTCAGATGGTGGGGGCAGAACAGAATGACTCCAAGTACCTGTCTGGAGTAGGGCAGGTTAGAAGGGCAACCTGGTCTGGGCACTGACCCCTCCTTCCTCCCTAGAAGGTAGACTTCAGGTCCTGTCAGGGCCATGCAACCAGAATAAGTATGACTCCTTTAAGGTCAGCAGCATCCTGAGGTCTGACTGCATGTCATACTATCTCCATAGCAGCCACACACTCTTAGGGACATGCCCTTCCCATGGGGTAGAGTGGTACTCTTTTGGAGGAGGATGGTGATGGTGGGGAGGGGAGAAGCCGAGGAAGCAGAATCTGAGTTCGGCATCTATATTGGGATGGAGGTTAGCGTGGTGAGATCTGGAAAAGAATTTTAGGTAGAGAGCTTGGAGAAGTGGGAATGACTTCAAGACCTCCAGCTTGACTTGCTGACTATTGCTGAGACTGTAAGGAAGGTGGCCTGAGCAAATCAAGAAGAGAGGAAGGTGATGCATGTCTCTTGGGCTTTGTTCAACGTCAGCCTTCTGAGACAAGGTAGCAAGTGTCATTGGGTCGGTTGCACATCCCATAACTTTAGGGGTCACAGAAACACTGCATACTTGATGAGCTCTCATGATGCTCAGGAATAAGTGGGCATAGGCATTGAGTGTGGGGTCTGGTAGGTAAGAGACCGGGTAGAGCTAATTGGGACAAGAAAAGGACAGAGACACAGCTCGAATGGACTCTTAGCAAGGAAAGTATGTCGTACAAGTTGATCTTTGACGACAGGCAATGGGGCATCCATGATTTCAGGGGCATGCAGATGGCAAGGTTCTCTTGAAGTTGGCAGAAAGTCACTCAGAAGCCCATGGGAAGCCAGTCATTGTGCTCCAGGAATCAAGGTGTGGGGGTATCAAGAGAAAAGGGGAGCATCCTAAGCGACAAGGTGTGGGTGTCACAGTCTCCAGGATCAGTGAGCAGGAGACTTTTAGCACCCTTGTGTAGGGCAGATGCGGAGGGCAAGTGGCCATGGCTGAGGCTGAATGGGAGGGTCAACAGGACAGAGGCAGAGGACTGCAAGGGACCTGGTGAGAGAGGGAAGAGAGTGGGTGGCAGATCTCTGTCCTCTTGGGACAGGCAAGCAGCAGCAGGACTTTGTGGGGGTGGCTATCCTATGCTGCTCCCGAGGTTTCTGTGTGGACAGCCTGCCTGGATGCCAGCCTTCTTTTCTTGGCCCCCTGCCTTCCTGGAACTTGCCTTCTGAGATAAAGACTGCTGAGCTTATGCAAGGTTGCAGGGGATGTCTCAAACACCAGGCTGGCTCAGCAGCATGGATTCCAGCACTTTCATCTTTGGGTCTGTGTGACTAGAGAATGGTATTACCTCCATCACCAAGGGACTGTCTGAGATGAAGGCAGCATTGGCACAGTGCTGAGCAGAGCAAGGAGGGGTCACTGGGTGTCGTGGAAGCCCACTCTTCCCAAAGCAGAAACACTGCTTGCCTGGGCCCCTGTCCTGGCAGCTCAGGCTCTAGCGGTTGTGCTCAGGTGTGAACTGTGAAGAGTTAGTCTAGGATGCTTGGCTCCCCTTAGTATCTGGAATGTTCCAGACTAAAGAAGAAACACCCAGAGAGATTGTATCAGATGCAAATGATGGGTGCCATGGTGGGGCGTAGAATCAAAGACCTGAAGGAGGCAGAGAGGTATAGAAAAAATGAGGCCATTGGAACCCATCCTAACTGAGTTCCTAGATAAGACCCTGCTGTTTGGAGGTACCATCCTGGCTGTCCATCGACAGTGGCTTTACCCTTTCTCAGTGTATAAGCACGGATCATCCAGTGAGTCCTCAGGGCCACTTCTAGAACCATGGTAGTCCAATCCCACCCTCTCTTGTAGTTATCCTCCCAGCTGGAAGCCTACACCCTCATCTAGCCCTGACATCAACCACACAAAGACAGGAGGTAAGGGCAGGTAGGCTCCAAAATCAGTAAGGATCTGAGGAGGATAGAGGCAGGAAGGAAAGGGTCTCTCAGAGGTAGGACAATTGGTCAGAGGTGGGAGGTCATGAAAAGGATCTTCAGGGTAGGATCGGACTCAGGCTCACGTTTCTGGAGGAATTCTGGTCTGGCCCCTCACAGCTGTCAGGGAGGTGTCCAAAAGAAGCAAGCACATGAGGGTCATCATCTTCCTCAGGAAGGTCCAGGCTGCTGACCGCTGTCCATAGTGGCCCTGGTTGTGGTTGGAGGGCAGCATGGGACATCTTGTCATGATGCTTCCACTGGGAACAGCCAAGGGGAAGACCGAGCCCTTGCTGTAAGTGTGCTAACTGCCACCTGGATCCCTGGGCATCCAAGCGTTCTCCCTGTTGGCAGATCCCAAGTTAAAAGGCTCTGCCTCCAGCTGCAGCTAGCAGAGGGGCAGCCTCAGATGATCGAGGCTTTGCTGTTCAGAGGGAGAGGCAGTAAGCAAATGCCCCCCTCTAATCCTTTGTCCTCTTCTCTAATCCCTTCTTGGTGCCAGAAGAGGGGTTAGTGCAGGAGTGGGGGGGGCCTTCAGTAGGATTACCCTGATTCCGGCTCTGAGCAGCTGGGCCAGCACGCCCTTCTGCTCCCAAGAGGCCATCCCGTGTGCACAGAACAGCCTCCGAGCTCGATGGGATGAGGATTCTCCACTCCAGGGGCTGAGCTTGTTCAGAGCTGTGCTGGGCCCAGACCCTGAAGGACCCTCATAACCCTCTGAGTATCCCTAGGAGGGCATGACCAACCTACTCTGCGGAGCTAGGCTCTGCGGGTGCTGAGAAGGACAGAGAGAAGGGGACCCGGACCTCCCAGGCTGTGCACACACACACCTCTGCGAACGATGCTTCTCACTTGAGTTTTGACCTGCTCCAAGGAAAACCTATCAGACAAAGTTTCCCCATCCCCCTCCACCCAGCGGGAAGTCATCCCTCCACTTTCCGTCCCGGATTTTGACTGCCTCTTTTTAGTGGAATCTTCCTTCATCCCTGTCTTCCCCTGCTTAGCACAGCATCCTTAGTTTACATGTCATTTGTGCCGCAAGACTTTCTTCTCAAGATTGTATCACTCCACCATGACTATATATACTTTGCTTATCTATTCAATACTCAGTGACATCTGGTCAACCACCACATTAGACAAAACCCTGTCCCCCCATGCACCCCCAGATTACAGCCGGTTATTCTCTATGGCCTAACCTTGGGGTTCTTCTGCTTACCCCTCCTGGGACTAATTGGCACGGGAACCTCTTGGGGTCTAGTACTTTTATTTTCTATTCATGGACCCATCAGCAGGAATCCGCTGTAGGAGCCTGGACAGAAATCTGACATACAGTTGTCCTTCTGTATGGCTGTCTCTCAGCCCTTGGGAGGCCACCTCCTTTTACTTTCCTGTCAGCTTCAGCAGGTGTCCCTTTGTCCCTGCCATGCCTCTTCCGCTTTCCTTATATCTGGCCTCACCAGGCACCACCGTTAGTCAGCCATGCTTGTTTCATGAAGTCCCTGTACTTCCTGTGGCCCTTGTCTGACAGCTGGTCTCCTTGGCCCAGAGTCAACTCCACATCCTGTATTTAAAAACTCAGGGACTCTTTGGAGATGCAAGGCCTTTGTCTTTGCTCTGCTCAGGGGACCCTGTGGCTGCTATCTGACTCAAAGAGGTTTTTTTTTTTTCCCTTAGGCACATTGGGTGTGCTTCAGGGCCTACACTGTGGAGTCTGTGGTCCCCTCAAGGGATCTACCTGCAATGGTGCCCTCCTCTTCCCATGGCTGGCTCCCTCACTTGGGTGGAGTGTCATTGAGCTGGGTCTTGGCCATTTGCCCTCTGTTGCTAGGACATGGAGCCTTTGGTTTCTGTCCATGGTCCTCTAGTCAGAATTCCCAGAAGCAGGATGCTGTAGTCTGGTGAGGGCCTGTGAAGCCTCTTTCACTGCAGAAAGCCAAAGGGAGGTGGGGCTCACAGATAAAAAGTTACCAAAACAACGCAAGAATCATACACACACACACACACACTACATGCACGCATGAATACACGCACACAGACAATGAAAACACACACATACACTCATGTACACACTAAGGAAAACACACACACACATGCACACAAAGGAATCCATTTTGGATTGGCTAGATAAATCCTCCTGGGCACAGGGTCTGCCCTGGAGTGTTATCAATATGTCCAGCGACCTTCATTGGAGAAAACTGGCTTTCCCCATCTCCATAGGTATCCATAGCAAACAGTTTTTTGGTTAGAGCTAGGGCTTTGTGTCCACTTTCTACTTAGAGGATTTTTTTGGGTGTATTTACAGTGGTTTTACTAGTTGAATGTCCCTAGTCAGGATTTGAAATTGGAAATCTGAGATGATCTGATCAGAGCCAACATTTCCAAGTCCCATCTCACAGGTGAGATCATCCTGATTTATTGTTTTTCAAACAAGGTCTCATGCATTCCAGGATGACTTTGAAGTTATTATGTAGTCAAAGGTGACTGAGAACTTCAAATTCTCTTGATTCTACCTCCAGAGTACAAATGACACACACACACACACACACACACATGCTAGTGTGCATGCACACAATGCAAGGAGCATACACATGTGTGTGTAAACACAAGGTACATGCATTCACACACATCTACACATAATCACATATGCATGTGCATACACATACTTGAGCCCATGTGAATATTCACGAACATTTATATACATACTCACACACATGGACATATGGATAGCCACTGTATTAGTAGCTTTTCTGTTGTTGTCATAAAACATCATGACCAAGGCTACCGAAATGATGAAAATTCAATATCTCTTTATAAGGCTAGAGGCAGATGGTCCCAGAATTGGCTAGTGCAGGTCAAAGATGTTACCAAGGACCCAAGTTCCTCGCACTGTCATCATCTATCACTCTCTGAATTTTGGATTGTTATTGTTCCAGGCATTGTACACATGATAGTATCTTGATTGAGGCGAGTGACTAATTTTTCTGTAGATCTCTGTGTCTGGTAAACAAAATACTCCCAAAACTGCCCAGCAGACTTCTATCTACCTGTCTTTGTGCAGTCAGCATTCTCCACTCTGTCCTGACTGGAGGTAGCCAGGAAATAGGACACCATGTCAAAGTTAGAGACATCACAGGTGCCTCCTGGATGGGGATGGGGCTACCCCCCAAAAAATGTAGCCACACAGGCAATTCCAGAAAATCTAGGGTCTGCTGGAATGGAAGCAGGGTGGGGAAGGACAGGTGCCTGCCACCCACCCTGTCAGGGTGCCCACAGTGTGTACACTAGACCTCTTCTTTAGCTAGTGAGCATCCCTTTCATAGGCCTTAGGGATAGAGCCAGTGGCACTCCAGGGACAGCTTAGACCTGCTAAGTGCAACTTCCAAGGTGTGGGCATCTTGGTTTCTCAGGTATCTTTGGTGCTGGCTAATAGCTGGAAACCAGTCTCTTGGCTTCTTACATGTCTAGAGTCAGGTACACTCAGGAGAAACGCGGCAAAGGGTGAGGTAGGTGGTAGATTGTGGGAGCCTGGGCTTCTGTATTAAGATGTCATCAATCATGGAGATGAAGGTTTTCAAATGCTTATGGGTTGGCTGGGTTGAGCATCCTATTGGCACCTGTACAGTGGATTCATAAAAAGACACTGGTTGATGGAGGCAGGGTCACAAGGGAAACTGTATGTCTGGTGTGAACGGAGCAGGGACATGTGCGTCATAGGACACAGTGGCAAGAAGTGATTGACTAGATACATGCCTGGCATGAGGACAGAAAGAAGCAATGTAGCATTTGGTGGTCAAGGAGAATCAAGTTCATAACACAATAGCATTGACAGAAATGAAAATATAACGAAAGATTTCTCATAATGCAAAAATCACTAATAGAAAAATAACGGCATATTTCATTAAAATTATGAGCATGTATAGTATGTCAAGAAGTACTATTAAGATGATAAGGGTCAAAAACAGATATGAAGGAAACGTTTCTGTCCAAGGCAACAAATGATGCACATGTGAATGCATGAAGAATTACAACCGACATGGAAGAGCAAAGCCCGTGGGGAAATGGGCCCATATGTCCGTCAAGCTTTTCCCACAAGCTAATCTACAGTCATTTCATCTGCAGCAGGCCACAGAGCCAAGCCATGTCCCACTGGAGTGGCTGAAAGGGAGGGCAGTATCTTGCTGTGATGTGGGTGTGTAGCCAGAGGAGTTCATATGTGACCCAAGGAAGAGTCTTGGGGCTGGGGAACATCTACAACTCTATGCTCACAGTTCCACCCTTGGGAAAAAGCAAGCTGAGAGGACCGACACGTGCTCCATGCAAGAAGTGCTCATTGTGTTACTCATAAAAGTCCAAAGCCTGGAAGAACCTAAGGTTTATCAAGGTCCAACAGTTCAAATGTGTGTGCACATTCATGCATCTGAATACTACACAGCAAAGCAAATAAACCTGGTGAAGATATCAGGTAAGAAAGAATAGAGTCTTGTAATCACATTTATATGGACTTCAATAAAAGCATCTCCAACAGCAGGCATCAGGGCAGTAGCAGCTCACGCTGGGAAGGCCCAGTAACTCACACACATGTCTCTAAATCCAGCTTGGGATACTTACACTTCAAGTCTAGAGTGAGCTTTCCACTGAAAACACAATTAGCATAGTCAACGGGCATCAATCCTGGTGTCTTCCCACTGAGTGCCTGAAGGTCGCCTGTCAATGCAGGAAGGGCCCCTGCTTTGTGGAACTCCAGAAGCATGGTTGCTTTAAGTTGGTTTGTGTCCCCTGTTGGAAGCACATGGCTCCCGGTACCCGAGATTAGGTCCTTATTTGGAAACAGGATTATAGTCATTGGTCAAGGTAAGGTCTTGTAATAAGTGGAGCCTAATCCAACACAGCTGATGTCCTTACAGAAAGGGGACAGAGCAGATTTGGACACAGCAAGGAGAACAATGTGTGTAGACGGAAGCAGGGACAATGTGATGCTTTTTCAAGCAAAGTATGCCAGCTGTCAGCTGCCAGCTGCCACAGAGCAGAGTTTTCTCCTTGGCCTCAGAGAGACTCGGCCCTCTGACACTTTGGTCTGGATTTCTGGACTCTAGAGTTTTGGGAAAGTGAGTTTCTATTGTTAAAGGGGCCCAACCAGTGGCATTTTAGGAAGCCCCAGAAAGAGGCCGGCGTTCCAACAGATCCTGAATCGCTCTCCTTGCTCCTAGCCCTCTTCTGGGCACCCATCCCATTTTCCTGGGACTTGTCACTTCTCCACAGCCAGGA